GACTGTCAGAGAATATTCACAATTTAAGTTGTTGCTCAGCCATGAAAAAGGATGGAAGGAAATGTTGCCAGTTGGATTCAGTTAAATATTTCCCTTGGCAGTTCTATAGAATTTGATCAACTAGTCGTTGAAGATCCAGTTGTAACTTTTTCTTCCCGGGTCTGTCTGATCAATTCCTATCCTTACCATGGAATGATGATAGGGATCGACGCGCATGGATTGTTCTTTCCTTCAACTTTCTTTACAGAAGTGAGGATAGTGTGGACTGTGAAGCAATGCTGCAGTCACACCTGCTGTCTTTATTGACTCCCTAGTAGCAACTTGTTGCCTCAGTCAGCAGACACTGGAGGGAGAGCGTCAAGCCCCTACCATTCTCCCCTTCAAAATCCTCTACCCTGCTCCCCCAAGTTAAGATGTTAATCCCAGGTGTGATGGAAGCACTGTACTGTTTTGGAGTTTCTACAATATTGCATGCAACCTTTAGTAGGTGTGGCTGGGAGGGATCTTTCTGGCCTGGGGTGACTGTCAATCTATCCAGCACTAACCAATAGTTCCACCTCTATCTTTGATCCAAGGAGAGGCCCGCCTCTCTGCTTCTTTATCTCTCTCAGTAGTCTGCTAGAAGCTGGCGGTGATTTTGTTGCGACCTATCGCTGGAAGTCAGTCAGCCATATTTGTCAGTTTGCTGTTTGATCTGTTTTATGGTAAGTAATGAATCTTCTTATTTCTCCTAATAATCTCTCAGAGTGAACCATTGAAACTGTAAGCTCCAGCTGATAAGAAAAAGGGGGTGGCCTGCTCTGAGGAACTTGAAGTTAATTCTGCTCTGGGAATCCCTGCATTTCTGATCCAGCTGATAAGAAAAAGGGGGTGGCCCGCTCTGAGGAACTTGAAGCCGCTCAGAGTGGTATAGATTTCTGCATTTCTGCTGTGCAGCTAGAGGAATTTAACCAGAAATTCAAAATTCTGCAAGACTTTATTGGTCAGAGGGGCAAAGCAACCTGGAACTCTTCAGATGCTGTAGACTGTAACTCCCACAATCCATTACTAACAAGTATGCTGGTTGGGGCATTTGCGAGTTGTAGTCTCAGACCCAGATGGGGATATTTGTATTCGTAAACAAATATTGTGAATTTGTATTCGTAAACGAATACAAATATCGCCATCCCAGCTGGACTTACTGAGGGTCCGGCCCCCAGGACAGGACTGTCCACTCATGCATCCCAGGGCCATGAAGGTCCCGGTCCTCCTGCCAATGGCTCCAGGAGGTCTACTGTCTCCCTGCTCAGCTGGCCAATTAGCAGCTACGCAGAGAGACTCGTCCTCCCACCCCTTGCCTGGACTGGTCAGCTGAGCAGGGAGATAGCAAAGCTCCTGGTGCTCTTGGTGGGAAGAGAATGGACGCTCTGGTCCTGGGGACCAGACCCTCATTAAGTCCAGCTGGGATGGGGAAATTCGTATTTGTTTACGAATACGAATATCCCCACCTCTAGTCCGAGACCTTAGCTGCCTGCTGTTATGCCTTTCTCTTGATTCCTTCAAAGAGAGAAGGGGACAAAGGGGAAACTCCACTGTAGAAGGCTGGATCGTATTTTAGCCTTAGGGGTACCGTGAGTGATAATAGCTCAAACAGCTGTGCAGCCAGGCTTTGCCTGTTAACTATCAGTTTTTCCACTCTGTGGTGCTATGGGAAGTCTGGAGCTTTCTCATCCGCGTGCATGGAGGACAACTGCAGGCTCTTGTTCTGCACGCCCCCACGTGCTGGAAAAAGGCCTGTCTCCTGAGGTGTTGGGCATCACAGGCCCTTCGGCACAGAGGACACGATTCTTCTCCCAAAGCAGGAGTGGAGAACTGGGCACTGGATGGCTGGTTCATACAGAAGGAGGCTGGGCTCCCCGCTTCCTCTTTCACTGATAAAAAATTTTCAGGTTTAAATGAATGAATGAATGAATGGATGGATGGTAAAAATTTTTTCAGGTTTAAATGAATGGATGGATGGATGGATGGATGGATGGATGGATGGATGGATGGATGGATGGATGGATGGATGGATGGATGGATGGATGGATGGATGGATGGATGGATGGATGGATGGATAAGAGAAGCAGAGAGCCAAACACACATTCTGGCATGACCTTTAAGGCAAAACTACGGCCACTGAAGAATCTGTGTGCAACAATACTGATCCGCATTGGTCCGTGTCCATGTCCTCCATAGCTCTAGAACATGTTTCTCTCCCCACTTCTGTATCAATTAGAACTTTATCAGTCAGCAATGGCTGCTTCCCATTGTCATAATGAAAAATCAAGACCTTGCTTGAACCCCTGATGTGCATCATGGTCTATGGTAGCTGTTCCAATCCACAACCCTCCCAATGGGTTGGACCACAAGTCCCATAATACCCCCTCAACATGGTTGGCTAGGGATAATGGGAATGGCAGACGATCCTACCTCGAAAGCATCAGTTTCAGGAAGGCGAAATTTGAGGTATTTTCCTACCATCTTTTGGTAGGGTAAGCACAGGGACCATTAGAGCCCGCAGAGAAACTGGCAGATGAACAAGCTACGTTCTTTTGCTCTCTTGCTTCCTCCTACATGGATAATTGAACTTATACTACATTTCTTCTCTCTGGCCAGAGAAGGGAGAGGATTTTGCAACCTTTTAGGAAAACCTAGGACAGTGTAAAACTGATTCTCAGAAACAGCCTTTAATTAACCTCCAGGCATTTCAGTCCTTAGCAAATGGAACAAACGAGGCAGAGAAGCTTGGCTTGCATGATTAATATGTCAAGCATCCCAGGGAGAGATGACCTCTGTCTAGACTGTGTTCCCTATCATTCCCCCACCACCACCTCACCGCCCCCAGTCTCTGCTCTGAGAATTCAAAACGTGGCTCTGGGGAAGCCAGTGACTGATAAAGCCATCCCAGATATTTGGTCACCTCCCCTCTTACACTGAGTCATCCCCAAGGGAACCCTACTGGAGTCAGAATACACTTCCACTCCTTAAGGGAAGAGGAGAAAAGATAGTTTACCATACTTGGTTCTTCTTTCATAAAGGCATACGGGCAAATGAAGAGAGTTAGCTGAGCCACGAGTTTCTCGTTTTGAGCAGTGAGCTTGTAGTGGGTCCAGCTGTGCTGCTTTTTGCAGTGACCTAGAGCTAGATTATGAGTCAGAGATAGCCCATCCTCAGAGGTGACATAATGTTACTGTTCCAGAGATGCGGTTCAAGCAGAGGGACATGCCTGGGAAATCCAAGGGGCAAACCATGGACATGCTTTCTTTCCTGATCACAAACCAGAGCAAATCGTGGGAAGTGAACCGAATTGCTGCTTTACTTTACTTTATTTAGATTTATACCCCACCCCTCTAGACAAAGTCTACTCGCGGCGGCTTACAAAAAATGATAAAATACAATAGAATAATATAGTTATTAAAACGTAATAATACAAGCCACTAACTAGTGGATATATACATTATCAAGATGGGAAATTAAAGAAATGAAACAGTTAATTGACTGGAGGGAAGGCCTGCCTAAAGAGCCAAGTTTTTAAATGGCTTTTAAAAATACCCAGTGAGGGAGCCAAATGGATTTCCGTTGGGATTGTATTCCACAGCCGAGGGGCCACTGCCGAGAAGGCCCAGTTTCTTGTTCTTTCTTTCTGGGCCTCTCTCGGCGTCAGGCCCCTCAGCCGTCCCTGCTGGCTTTGTCGGCCGACCGAATTGCTGCTGTGACAATCACACACAACCAGCACTCACTACCGTCCCTGCTGGCTTTGTTGGCCGACCGAATTGTGACAATCACACACAACCAGCACTCACTGAATTCCTTTTTCCAATGATAGGATGTAAACCCGGGAGCAATGAGCTTCTGCTTTCTAGGAAAAGCTGGCTGGGCAGAGTGCTGATTGCCTTGTGGCAATCACAGAAGGGCGCCTCCTCTCCTCCCTAGCCATCTGTACAGAGTGTAGACTGACTAATCCTCTTGCAAGCATCCGGCTGTCAGCATCTTCACATCCTTAAAGGAGTGAGAGTTTGCCTTGCAGTGCTTGGATCACAGAAAAAAAGCTCACATTTGGCCATGACAGGAGCTGACAGAGATTAATATCTCCCATTGAGCCATGAAGCTCATGAGGTGACTTCGGGCCAGTTGCCTTTCTCTTAAGCCAGACTACCTCACAAGATTGTTCTGAAGTTAAAATGTGGGCGGGTGTGGGGTGAGAGAGAACCAGATGTCAAGTAAGTGCTAACTTCTATCTTCTTCTAATTGGCAGAGTTCAGATCATCTATTTTGCTTCAGGATTTAGTCCTCCGCATTGATAGGGTAGGTAGCTCACCTCAGCTCTGTTAAGTAAAGTTGCCTGGCCATGTTGGAGCAAATTAATAATAATCATCATCATGTGTCTTCAGTTGACCCTTTTCAGTGTTTTCTGGATAGAGAGTACTCAAAAGTGCATTACCCTTCCCTTCCTCTAGGGGCATCCCTGGGACTGTGCAGCTTGCCCAAGGCTACCCAGGCTGGCTGTTTTCCCTGGAGGCACAAGTGGGGAATCAAACTCCCAACCTCTGGCTCTGCAGCCAGGTACCTCAACCAGCCAGCTTGGAGCAAATTAGGCCTGCAGAAGTAAAGAATATGGTGGTGTTATTTTTGGCCATCCAGCTACTGGCCATCCTGGCTAAGGAAATCAGGGAGCACCTCAACCACTGAGCTGTCCAGCCAGCTTGGAGCAAATTAGTCCTGCAGAAGTAAAGAATATGGTGATGTTATTTTTGGCCATCCAGCTGTTGGCCATCCTGGCTAAGGAAATCAGGGAGCTATAGTCCAAAAAGCAACTTTTCCAAGCTCTGACATGGCCTACAGATGCATCGCACCTTGATTCATATACTGTATTTGATTGTCCATGTATCAGTTTTTCTTCTAAACGGAACATGAATTTGTTAAAGGAATTGGAGGCAAGCTACCAAGGCACAAGGATCAAGATTCTGAATTACACTTACCTCTATTTGGTTGAGCAGGGAATCATCAAATTTGAAGCCGGGGATTCTCTTTTCGCTGCAGACAACACTCACATCTTCGGTATGCTTACAGTCTGACACACCCCAACCGTTGGAGGAGCACGCAGCCAGTGTAGATTCTCTGCCAGTACAGTAGACATTGTCCATCCAGATGGGACCTATAGAGCACAGAAGTGAGAAAAGATGGAAATAGGAACCTGAGAAGGTCTTCCTTGGGGAGCCATTGCAATCACCACGAGTTAACCAATGGCATGGTGACATTTTCTAAAGTCCATCATGACAACCCCTGAGAACTTAGTCCTTCAGGAGAGTTCAGAAATGCAGGTGGAGTTTCTTTCCCATGTCAACAAACCTGCAGTACCTGTTTTCATCTATAAGAGGAACAGGCATTTTGTAAAGCTAATGAATCTTGGTTGCCCATCCAAGAGCCAGCTGCTTCAAAAATACCATATTTTTTCCATGTATAAGACTCCCCCATGTATAAGACACCCCCACTTTTCTAATCCAAAATTAAGAAATCTAAGTGGGACTTAGCAAGTGTAGGGGTAAAGGGATCAAAGCGCTGCAGGATCGCTTTGATCCCTGCTTTCCTCTCCACTTGTTTTTGTTCTCTCCTCAGCTTACAACATTAACCACTGCCTAGTTATGTAGCGCTTTTTTGAGTGTCCTAGTAGGCACCTATCCCATTTCTCACATGTGTTGAATGCATAGAGAGCACTGGGCAGGGCTGCCATGCTTATGCTCTTCAAACTCCCCACTCCCTCTCACATATTACCGCATTTTTCCTTGTATAAGACTATACTTTTGTCTAAAACCTCCAGACTAAAATTGAGGGTTGTCTTATACATGGAAATAAGCTGAGGAGAGAACAAAAACAAGTGGAGGGGAAAGCAGGGTTCAACGCGATTCTGCAGCGCTTTTATCTCTTTCCCCCTACACTTGCTAAGCCCCACTTAGATTTCTTAATTTTGTATTAGAAAAGTGGGGGGTGTCTTATAGATGGGTGCGTCTTGTACACAGAAAAATACCGTAGTTCCACACAAGTTACCATCTGGATCCCACAGGGTTTTGAAATGCCCCAGAAGCTTTAAAAATATTCTTGCAATGACCTTTTCAGAAGTCAAGGCATGACCCTGAGACTGTGCACACACTTACCTGGAAGTACGTCCTACTGACCTTAGGGGTGATCCCTTCCACCCAGACATGCCCTGGAGTGTGCTGTAAGTAGGAACATGCAAAAGTTCTTGGACACTCTGCCAGTGCCGACCCTACCATGTCCCTGTGTGAGGCAGCTGTGGTGGGACATAGGAGGGGGAAACATCTATCATTCCCTACAATCATGGGACTGCTTTCATTCTATCAGTAGCTCCTCTTCAATAGGTATAAGCCCAGCACTCGCCTGGTGCACTTCGTTAGCAGAAACACCAGATATCCCCAACCCTCCATGCCATAAGGGAAAGGAAAAGGCTTACCTTCTCCCTTGCCGTATTTAGAACCAGGGAGCCAGGATATTGCCTCCATGTAGCCCAGCTCCTTGCAGACTACGTGCGCGTTATGGATGGAGAAGTCATCATCACACACTGTCCCCCACTGAGAGTTGTAGAAGATTTCCACCCGCCCTTCATTGTGCTTCCTCTTTTCCCCTGCCAATCGCACCTGGATCTTGGGGGTGCTGGCGGGTGCTGGATCCTGCTGCTGAGGCTGGTCCTGAGGGAAATTATATTGCCACTGGCCACCCTGAGCAAGGGTCAGGGGGCTCAGGTACGTCGAGAGGAACAATATAACTAGGCAGTGGTTAAGCCTAAAATCGAGGAAACTCTCCATTTTGGGAGAAATAGTCAGTCACCTCAGAAAATGAGTCTTTTATTGAATTTTATTGAATTCGGAGAGGAAGGTTGAGAGGAGACAGCTGGGCTGGCTTGCTGGAAGAGAAAGGAAAAAAATAATATTAATTAATTTATTTTATTTATTACTTTGATTTATATACTGCCCCATTACTCTCAGTGGTTTACAAGTCATTAAAACAAACTGCAACAGAGCAGTAAGCACAAAATTACTACGCAAAACAAAAGCATAGTCTAAAAATTTAAAAACCAATGGCGGAAATCAGTTCTCAGACTGAAGCAAAGCAGAAGGCGAGGTCTTCAACCAGGGTCGGCATGCAAGGTCTCTCTGAAAAGTTGTGTTTTTAATTGCCTCCTAAATGAGTACAGGGAGGTGATGCCACCCCCGAGAAGGCCCTGCCTCTAGTACATGACTTTGGGGCCTCCCTCGGGGTGGCTGCATGGAGGAGCTTGGCCTGAGAGGATCTGGTGGGTTGGGCAGATGACATGGGGGAAAGACACTCCAACAGATAGGAATGAGAAGGTCGTCTGAGGCATGTGCAGATATGTTGGTTTTACACCTCTAACTTTCGTCTGGTTCACCAGTGCATCGTCCTCACTGGAGAGCCGCAGCAACGAATGGGGATCTGTGTGACAGGAATATGCAAATATAAACACCATGAATGAAGTGGCCCAAGATGCCTGAGGCCAAGGGTGAATTCAGATGATTGGGTCATGGGGCAATTACAAAAACAGGGGGCTCTTTGGGTGGACGTATGTGAGCTATTTGTTTAGAGAAGAATGGTGGTATGGAATTCCAATCAATCAATCAATAAATGGTAAATGTGTTAGAGTAGAGTAGACGCTGGAGAGCAAGGGGATGAGATTTGGAGTCCACCTGGTGTATCCCAGGATGGGACTCAGCCAAGATCACTCTGAATGTTTGTAGCTGATGGGTTTATGTGATCTTGGGCAGGCTTCATTGTGCCGCAGTGTCAGCAGCAGGACGGACTGGTAAATCACTTCTGGACTCTGGGATGGTTGCCCTAAGTCAGAACTTAACCGGTAGCACATCATTATTACAACTAAATCTAATCAAAATGCAAAATATCCTTCCTGTGGATTCCGATAGACAAAGACAATCATCATCATCATCTCATCATCATCATGCGCCCTCGAGTCAGTTCTGACTTATGGTGACCCTTTTCAACCAGGGGAATGCTCAAGTGGTTTACCCTTCCCTTCCACTGGGGGCACCCTTGGACTGCACAGCTCTCCAAGGCTACCCAGGCTGGCTCTTCTCCCACGATGCAACACAGAAAAATTGAACTTCCAAACTCTGGCTGTGCATCCAGGTACAGAGCCATCCAGCCAGCTAAAGACAATCATATTCTTCTATAAGGTGAAGGTAAAGGTCCTCCTTGGCAATTTGTCCGGTCATGTCCAACTCTAGGGGGCAGTGCTCATCTCCATTTCCAACCCACAGAGCTAGCATTTGTCCAAAGACACTCTTCCGTGGTCACGTGGTCAGTGCGACTAGACACAGAACGCCATTACCTTCCCACCGTGGTGGTACCTATTTATCTACTCGCATTTTGCATTGTGCCTGCTTTCGAAACGCTAGGTTGGCGGGAGCTGGGACGAGCGACGGGAGCTTCCTCCGTCGGGTGGATTCGATCTTACGACTGCTGGTCTTCTGACCTTGCAGCACAAAGGCTTCTGCAGTTTAACCCGCAGCGCCACCACGTCCACATCTTCTATAAACCAGAGCACAAATGCTGACTCAAGGGCCAGGAAAGAACAGGAGAGATGACGAGTGTGCAGCACCTCCCCATAAACACCCCAAACGCATTTGGGCCTGGAAGAACCAATCCAGGAAAAAAAAGTTTGTCAACTTGCCGGAATGTGAGAGGAGATAATGGATTAATTCCCAACCTGGTGTGATTTGCTCCCTGTTCTAAAGAGCAACTCATGAGAAAGGGCTGCAGTTGTTCAAGCAACTCCTTTAAATGGGAATATTACTGGGCTTTCTCCTTCTGTTGTCCTCTGCTTGTTACTGTTTTATCCAGAAGACACACCATCAACAGAAGATAAAAAAACCCAAAATGCCTTATCTTGACTTTCAGAAACGTAACCTACACATTTCAGAGAAATTTCCTCTTTCCCTCAAACTTGGCCTACTGTGATGTCACAATGTACATTTCCATTAGCGAATGTCTGGATTTAAGTACCATATACAGTAGTCAAGTTACATCCAAAAGACTCAAGAGACAGATGATTCCCCTTTCCACTTTTTTGGAGAGTGGTTTGGTATTCCCTGTCTGGGGATCGTTAAAGCTCCCCAAAGTTCAGCCAAAAAGTGCATTTATTGTGAAGGTCTGTTGTTCAACCAGATCGGTTTGAAGTGTCTGGAGCCTCTTGGATTCAATAGGGAGGGGGATTAAGGCAACGGGAAATGTAAACCTGGCTTCTTGGCCTTTTGCTGAGCGGTGACATTCACTGGTTGCCAATTTCTGCAGAGTTACTCCTTTTGTCATCCACGTTACAGCACGTGAAGTGGTTGGGAGGGCCACGTGTAGGGAATAGTTTCCACGTGAAGCAAAACCAAGATGTGGCATGAGCTTTCCAAACCACGATTATTATTCCCTGGCAGTCACTCAAACACAGGAAAGGATTAGCTCATAGATATACATCTAGGAAAAAAGGTTGGTCTGACCACGAAAAACACTGAAGCTAGTATCTTATTACCCAGTTCTGGAATGAATTTAATAAATATCCCTTGTGCTTCAACAAATTTCATGTGGTATGCCTGTTGTTGCATTGGTTTCAATGCCCAGAAGGCCAGTTGGGCCAATGGTAAGAGATTATGGGTGGGTTAAATAAAGAGCTAGAAGTTTCTGGTTGATACCAAGAAAAGTAAGCAAAATGGAGCAAAACTTTGCAGCATTGAGAGCATTATTTAAACAGGGCAGAGTGGGATTTAGCCTAAGGATGTGTCACTGGAGACCGAAGTCAAGATCATCATCAGTAAAGTTGTATTTCCAGCTACTTTGTACAGGTGTGTTAAGTGGAAAGCGAAGAAAGTTGACAGGAAAAAAATTGTTCCATTAGAAATGTGGTGTTGGAGAAAAGCTTTACAGATACTCTGGATTCCCAGAAGGCTAAATGAAAGGGTCCTAGATTGAATCAAGCCTGAACTTTGTCTGAAGTCAAAACTTCTCTTGATGTTACTTTGGCAATATCATGAGAAGACAAGATTCACTGGAAAAGACAATAATGTTAGGAAATATTGACGGTAGCAGGGAGAAAGGAAGACCAAATATGAGATTGACAAATTCAATGAAGGAAGTCACAACCTTGAATTTGTAAGAGCAGGACATTTTGGAGACCACTTATATATGGCTTGTCATAAATCACACCTGATGACACATAACAGCAGTGTGGGATCCCATCTACACATGCACCTTCCATGCTGCCTGCGATGGATTGTCTTCTGATTTCCATCTCAAGACTAGGAACATTAAAACCAGCACATACTGAAAAGCTATTACAACAGTTATCCTCTCCCCATTTCTGGAGATGATTAATCAGGCTTAATAGCTTTTCAACGTGGTGTTGACTGAAAAAAAAAGGTTTACTTCCCCATGTTTTATTACTTTAAATAATCCTAATCTAGTAAGAATCAAATACTGTTCTAACGCCTATGTATAAGGCAGGGGAGACAATATGAAACTCCTGGTATGCAGGTAAACCTCCACCATAGAGGTTTGTCTGGAACGGCCTTTTGGTCACCCACCCTTTGAAGATAATACACACAATGTTGTTAATCTATGTCCCATGTGTTTTCCGTCTGTGTATCTTTAGACCTGGTTTGTGCTATTGTTTCTTTTTTATTATTATTTTAACAGACTGTACAGTACCAACTTGATTACAGCGTGCTCGGATAACAACTGAGTTTTTCTAGATCTTCAGAATCTCTCTATTTGCAGAACTTGCCTGCTTTATGGTTTCCTGCTCAAGTGACTTGAGCAGCCATTTTAAATTACCCCGATATTCATTTCTCTTCGGGACAGAGAGCCCCTCTTGCTCATAGGATACAAACATATGCCAGAGTTCTGGTGCTGATCATCTGTACAGCCTGGTTGGGGGGGGGGTCACGGTTTTATATGCAGTAGACCCTTTGCCGGACTTTAATGAAAGTCAGCCCTCAGGAGCGGGGTGTGCTCAGATAGCAGCCAGCTCCTACTTGCAGAAAGACTAGCATTTATGCAAGGGAGGTCTTTAATGACCTTATTGTTGTCTTATTATTATTATTATTCATTTGTGTAGCAAAACAGTGCTGCATAAAGGGAGGAACAAAAATGGATACCAGGAAATGAGCAATTAAACTCTTCATCCACTGTTATGGGAAAAGACATTTGAAGAGGTCATCCAAGGACAAAACCCATCATTAATTTCCCTACCAGCTTAAACTTGGAGCCATCTAAAGAGCAAGATGTAGAAACAGGGAACATTTAATGAACACTAGAAAGGATCTTGACCTTGGACACAGCTGGATAATATAACATAATACTGGAAGATGAAACATGAGATGAACTGACTCCCATAAACGAAGCTGCAGCCTTTCATTGCATGATGAAGCTGAGGTTTGGGAAACGCTATGAGAAGGCAAGACGTGCTGGGGAAGACAATGATGCTAGGAAAAGTTGAAGGACTGAGGTTAGGGAAACGCTATGAGAAGGCAAGATTTGCTGGAGAAGACAATGATGCTAGGAAAAGTTGAAGGCAGCAGGAAGACAGGAAGACCCATTATGAGTTGGATTGGCTCCATAAATGAACTATGGCCCTGAGCTTACAAGAATGGAGCAGGCTGTTGAGAAACGAACATGTTGAAAGTTACTCATACATAGATTCACCATAAGTCTGAGACAATCAGGTAACACACAAGAACGACAACCTTTCCAGCTGGTCGTGCAAGGAGTTGAACCTGGGACTTTCTACACGAGAAGCATGTCCTCTGCCTTGGATCTACTCCTGGCTTCCTTTGCCAAACTAACGGAAGTCAGTGGATGAATTTCCTAAATACCTAGAAGTTTCCT